TTCCAGCTCAGGGGGCCAAGTACCCTGAGGATAACTGGTCTGCCTGCTAAAGACTGAGGCAAAGAAGGCATTAAGTACCTCAGCCTTTTCCTCATCCTCGGTGACAATGTTCCCCCCCGCATCCAATAAAGGATGGAGATTCTCCCTGGCTCTCTTCTTGTCATTAATGTATTTGTAAAAACTTTTTTTGTTGTCTTTAACGACAGCGGCCAGGTTGCGTTCTAGCTGGGCTTTTGCCTTTCTCATTTCCTCTCTGCACGACCTAACGAGATCCCTGTACTCTTCCCTCGGGCTCTTTCACCACAGCTGTTTGTGGCTACACAGAGTCAGATGGGGAAACAGAACCAGGTTAGTTACCTGACTGCAAGAAAGGGAGGGAAGAGAGAGAGGGGCTATTTTCAGTTTCTCAAACTAGGCCACCATGCAGCTGCACAAACAGCTGCACCAGCACAACTGAAAGGTTGCACAGGGACTGAAATAAGTGGCTGTGCAAGAAAATTACTTAAACTGGCACTAACAGCAAAAGAAACCCTTATCACACTATGGCTTCAGGCAAAGTAGTATGGTCTAGGTGGGTGATTTCTAAGGATATGACCACATCCAGCTCCCACGGATTCTTGGGTCTCTTAGGCACCCTTGGAAATCTCAGCCTAGACATTCAAAACTAAGTTTCTTGTTTCAGGGTAGAGGAAACAGTTTACATTATTTTTAACCTGTTCTTACTAAAACTGTAACCACTGCTTTTACTAAATGTTGGCTGCTTTGCTATCCCTATTTAACAGTAAATAAGCAGATTTGCAAACTGCAAAGGGGTCAGTTTCCAACACAGGAATCTTGTAATTGAGGGATCTTAAGGAATAAAAAAGAGGATCACTAACACATATATCTCCACTGCAAACCAGAACACTGTGTAGAGTTAACCAACTTAGCTTCAAATGAGCTACATCAGCAACTGTATCACAGTAGCGGCAGACTCCACATGTACTAATTTAATTGGTTGACTCCTTCCAATAAGCTCCTTTTTAATGCTAATTCAAAGTAATTCTACATTATACTACAACCTACAGTTGTTGGTTAGTTCTTACACTAAGTGTAGTTCTTACACTATACAGTGTAGGTTACTTCTTCCCATCCTACCACTCATCGAATTACAAAAAACAGTCAACTTGACCTCATCTGAGGGACACTGGCAAAGGATTCTACTTACTTTGTAAAGAACTTCCCTGTAGGTCTAGCAGCAAATTCATAAATAATAATGCTGACATTTACTTATGAATTCCCATACAGACTCTGATTAATGATCTACACTTTTGACTCAGAAGCAACTATATACTGGAATAAAAAACCAACCCATGAACTACTAGGAAATGACATGGTTAAAACAGTTAGAGGTAGATACAGGCACTAAAAATGCAGATTTAATAGGGGTGCCCATGCAGACACACTCCACCTACCTTTCTGGAAGGGTTAAGGATTGAGGGTACACTATGATTTACTTTAGAAAATTATATCTGGAATTTGAAGCATGAACCAAGAACAAATAATACATGTTATCTGTGGTTTTATTCTAAAATCACTTTCTTAAAAGGAGACCTCTTTCATGTTCAAATTTCATTTTCAGTAAGATTCTAAAGTATTGTTTCTCTATTTCAATTCTAATCTTCTTCATCTGAGTACTACAAACACTGTAACACAAATGCAAATCTGCCTGCTACCCTGCCATCTCACAGCAAAGATTGTTAATTAGAAGTTTTGGTCTGGGTATTTCTGAAAACGTCAATGAATATCCTGCTGTTTAGAGGAATAAACAAAGCCCAACCAAGTTGTAATTGTCTACGAAATTTAGAGGCAGTAGGCCGAAAAATGACAAATGACAGATGTGCCTGATTACTGCTGAGATTTTTGTTACTCTCTCCAAATGACTATGTAAACTCTGATTTAGTTTTTCCTATTTTTTTTTTCCTATTATGGCACAACTTCAACCTCTAGTTGCCAAAGGAAGTCAGGTACTTAAATACCTTTCTGTGCCTTTCTAAGCACACAATCTGAATATTAGGTTTGACGGCAGTGCACTTTCATCAATAAAATGTAAAGTGATTACCAAGGAGAAATCAACGTATTAAGAAGAATAAAAGTTCAGTACATTTTTAATTCTCAACTCATTGCCTAGAAGGCTCTGTAAAGATAACATTTAACTAATGGAAGTCTTAAGAACATAAAATTTGTCCAAGGATGTGAATAAAGAATTGTCTGTCTTAAAGCAGAAGAATGGAAGCACAGATATATATACCTGCTACCACTGGATAAAGAAATCATACTTTCTTGCACTTTGATGAAAGAACTAATAATCACTGGCATGACTACTTGCATTTGTATTACTACAGTAACTATGTTTGACTATCCACTGTTCTTAAAATTGCAGACTTAAAATCAACAGAAGGTAAAACTGTAACAGTGCATTACTGTTTTGCAGAAGTGTATTACAACTCACTAATTCATCAGGAGCTACATTTATCAAAGCAACATACGGTTTCATATTCTCTCAAACTTTTAAAATCTTCTAAATGTCATTGTTTTGCTCAATCTTTTACTCATTAACAATTTTCACAACTTCCCATTTAACAAGGAAAAAAACCCCAATTTTTAAAAATCTCTTTAAAAGCACTGAAATTGAACAGCATGTAGAAAAACTGCAATTTCATTGTCACATTTTGTCTTGATTCCTTAAGAAGTACACTTCAGCTGCCCACAGTTTTTATCCTAAATGCCATGCTGATGTAGCTACGGAAACAATGAATTCAAGATTTCATATTTCAAAATTGAAAGTATACTTGAATAATGGTGTAAGCAGTTTAATCCTTACCTTTTCCAGATTCCAACAAGACAGAATAAATATGCTGACGAGCAGGGCGGTAGATAAGTGCCTGTCCAGGAATCTCTGTATCACATTCATCTTCCAAAGAGTTGCTGCACTCAATCTCTCCCTTACTCAGGATATTGAAGATCGTATAATTTTCAGATTGGATATGCTGTTCTTTAGCTAACTGTTTGTTCAAAGAAGAAAGAAGGCATTATCTCCAAAATTAAGAAGGATCCAAAAGTAACAAAATGTATTCACTGTTTGAGGAAATAGTACTTTCTCTATTGGTGGAAATGGAGGGAATGGCCAGGGAGGAAACAAGTGCTTTTTCAAATAGCACCAGTATAGTACATTTTCAGACATCTATCTTTTGTGGACAGGAATCCCCAGGAAACCTATCATTGCCTTTCTTAGCCCCTCCTTGGGGTTTTTAATGACTTTTTTTTAAAAGAGTAATTATTCTTAAAATGAATTCTGAATTCAGACATAGAAAAATGAGCTGCCCTCCTTTAGTCACCTGAAAACTATCTTCCCTCTTTAAATAGTGAGTGAAGGCATGACAAAGCCCAAACTTTTAATTTTATTGCAAGATGAACTATGTAAGACAGCTCCATTTCTTTCCTGAGCTGACTTTGCATAGTTTACATTGTGGCAAAATTAGAATACTTAACTTCACCACACTTTTACTTTGCAATAGCTCTTCCCCAAGAAAAGAAATACAATGTGCTCTAGTGAGGAAAACCAGGTCTGCAGGCTGTTGCTGAAAAGCAGAATCACAGCATCACCCAGGCTGCATATTAACCATGCACTGGATGCAGATACATCTGGCTACAGCAGCTGGCTACAAGCAGCCTCAGTATCAACAGGGACCACTGGTCTGGAGCAGCTTAGACGCAGAAGCAACAAAGCTGCTCTCAGGCAGCGCAAAATTTCAAGCAGTAACACTTGTAACCTGGACTGGCCAAGTGCAGAACCAGATAGACTTTCTACTTCACAACCTCAGACCAAAACTATGGGGGTGTTCAAACAGCTGACCGGAGCCATTATTTCCATGGGGTGCCACTAACAAATTCTCCTGGACCCATGCCGTATGGTGAGCAGGCACTGAAGTTTCTCTGCTCTGCATTCCCTGCATGTGTCACGCTACCTGTATTATTTGGGTTGTGCCATCCACACAGTTATCTCAGCCTCTTTCACTGGGAATTACCAGACCACTGGCCAGAGCCAAATTCACCATTTCTGCAGAATTCCAGTATCTGCAAACCTGGGAACTCAGCAGGTCAAAGCTGCAGTCAATCACTGGGTCATTACTGATCAAAACTAATTCTACTGAAATGTCATGCTTTCAGAAGAAATTCTCACATGAGCATAAAATCAATTATAGGCTTCTGTGTACAATGCCGATCAACAGAGCATTTTCTTATAGCAAAAAATTAACGGTTGCCCTGGAAGAAATACTTCAGTGTTCCTAATACACGTAAACAATGTAATCCCCCAAATCTACTTTTGTATAAAACAAAAACAAAGAGTTAAGTATTTCTAAGCATGATTTGAATGAAGCATTGAACTATTTCATACAAACCACTGTCAGATATGAGATAATTTGAAAATACTAGTTTCTTGCAATTTGCCAATAATCTACACATCCTTATGTACTGAAAAAATTACAAGCTGATTTCAAAAGTATTGCTGTATTCAATACTTTTGAAGTATTGAATGAAGCAGCAACATGAGGCTATGTCCTCAAGGTTGGAACTGAGCTGTGTGTGTCATTTATGTGCAGTTCAGATTATGTGCAAGGTAAACAGAACTACATATGGGTTTCAAAATATGAAGCAAAGCACACACATGACATATACAAATATTTAAACACCTGTAACAAAAACAAAAGACAAGTTAACACGTCTACAACTTCGACTGTAATTTCCTTGGCCCAGGGACTGGCTTAACATAGGATTTATGCAGCAACAGTGAAGCATTCTTCAATGGAGTTTCTAAACATTGTTATTTTATTACAGCAGTAGCTCAGCATGACGCTAGAGAACGGCAACCCTTCAAATGAAAGATCTAGCCAAGAAATAATGACCACTTGTCATAAAGACCGCATGGTACATTCTCTTAAGGAGCAAGGTACCACTATTGTCCTGGCCATAATCCAACCTAGATAATTACATTCTGGCTAATTTTTCCTTGCACTTCAAGCATAAACATCATTTTTCAACACTTTATTAAGATGTAGGTTGTTGGTTTTTTAAATAACGTCTTCTATTTAACTGCTACAGTCAAAAGTGACATGTATTGTATCTATGTGTGGTTAATTAAAAAACCCAAATGTATCTGCAGTTTAGCTGAAATGAGCATTGCATAGGTTACAATGTAGTTTTTAAATGTTTTAGAGTCTTTTTAGAAAAGGAAAATGTAAATTATAGAATTACTTTAGAGTAATAAGAGGAAACAGAAATATAGTTTTAAAGAAAATGCTCAAGATAAGTAAGAGACAGACCAAAAAAAAAAAAAAAAAAGACTCTCTATTTGAAGTCTATAGGTATCTAACAAAATAGGGAGTAACAGATGGCTAATACAGAGTCTAAAATATACTACCTCATATAGATTTTTTTTATTAAATCTCAATACGTTATCTTAATTGCCATGAATTTACAGAATTGTACTCTAGACTTACTACTCTTGCATAAACACTGATGCCAGGTAGCTCAGTTTTCTATTAGCCGGGTAGGCTACCCTAGCTAATATATCCAGTCTCTCAGAGTGACCCAATCTGACTGTACCGTTTCTCACCCCAGCACCAGCGCATCTCTGCCCATGTGGGAAGCCGTAAGTGAAACTTGCTAGTGCAGCCCTGCCCTTTATGGATTAACAAGCCACTCGAAGTGTTTTTGGTTCCTTCAGGGACAATGAATCTGAAGGAAAATTAACCTGATCCAAAAATCACGAACTACAGGTTTATAGGAAGTTTCCTCAGCTCCTCCACAAGAGCAACTTCAGCTTCTGCGCTCTTAGCCACAGCTCCCTTTAATACCTTGATTGCATGTGCCAGGCACAGCCAAGCAGACCACTAACCAGCTGTAGCTGACCTGTGGGTTCTCAAAGCAAAAAGCAAGTCATTACATCGTGCAATACATGGGAAGTACAACTCTGTGCCCAGCTATAGGCCTATACAGGAGCTGCTCCCCATTATTTGACCTGCCCGACGCTTCAAAAAGAGAGGAACTACTTTTAATTAAATGTGCTGCATCTGCCCTCATCATGATGCATGTAATAGTCATAACCATGGCTGTACTTAACAGACAAAAAATTTGCGCAAGCAAATTTAAATCAATAGGTTCGGTGTACTCATTACCAACTTCCATTAAGTAGTCATAGCAGTAAAGTGACCATTAAGCTTTAAAAGACAAGGCACCTGAAAGATTTCCTTATCTTGACACACGGCCGTTTGTTGTTGAAGGGAGAACGTTTGGCAACTTGTTAGGTTGGGAGGAATCCATGGAGACTGCTGCCCAGGCAAAAGATAGGACTCCACTCCTCTGTAAAGTAATGTCTTGTCTGATCCCAAAGGTAGCATCTCTTCCAAGTGTTTCAGGCTGCTGTACGAGCATGGAACTTTTGAGATGTAATTTGCTACAGCTAGAAGTATGTTTGTTCTTCTGTTGTAGCTGTTATTCTTGTGGGGACTGGTGACTAAACATTTACGCCAAAAGCCTTCCAACAAGCTTTCTGGAACAACATCATTGCCAAGCAAGCAAGCAAAGAGAGGGAGGTGTGTCAAACTAAGACCCAATGCACGGCAAAGATCTTCTCGAGAGTACATAACAGTGACCAGTCTGTCCAAACTGAGCTTCTCAATGGAAAAGTAGGGGCACGTACTATAGATGAGATAGTCACTATCTTGCCCGAGAATTCCTATGCAGTTATGTTGCAAACCATATGCAGCCACCTCAAAGTCTGCCTCTTGCAATGTGCATACTGTTTTTTGACCAAGCGACTTCAGGGCAAAACGTGTAAAAGTAGGCAAAGCTGAAGGAACAATGAACATTTCTCTCCCTGGTTGTTTCCTGTGAGTCTTGATAAACCGAAATATTCTGGCGATTTCCTTGTTATTCTGCAACCTCCGTTTGATCCACTCATCTCTCTTTTTCTCTTCTACCACTCCGTCAAAGTAAAACACCAACTTGATACCAGCTGCCATAAAAGCTTTAATAAAATCCTCTAAAATGGCAAGGTACTCCTGCCACTGCCCACCGCACACCCAGGATTCTGGTGTGTACCAGTATCTAACACAACTCATGGCATCTACTACGATAACAGGTGGGAAATCAGGATGATCGACGCGATGTTTTTCTGCCACTTCTCTGAGATCTACCGTTTTGCATGCATCAGGGCAAACTCTTGCCACAAATCCCTGCAAACCTTTAATGCCCATGGCCAATCTCTGAAACTCACAGCAGTCTGAAAGAAGAAAAATAAAAACAACATTCTAAAATGCAATACTGAGAAACGTAATGAAATTCTACAATAAAAAGAAAAAGCAGCTTGGAAACTGAACTGTTGTTTTTCTGCTTTTGCTGATAGCTTGTTTTGTTGTCCTGGCCTTTAAACATCTTGAACAATCAACAAACTGAACATAAGTGCCCATTCACTTTGCCTTCCACTTCTGCTTTTTACACCAGTGAAAACTGTAAATATCAAAAGGTTTTCATAAATACGACTTTAAAAATTTCAGATTAGTAGCGTAAAATATAGAAAAGTACACATCGCTAGAAAAACAAGTATAGGCATAATTAAAAGCTTTAAAACAGCTGACAGTGTACAACACAGGAATTAATGGCTTGATTTTCACACTAAAAGTATACGAACGTCTTTAATTGAAGTCAGCAGAAAAAAATATAACTTCAGAAATCAGGCTTGTACCGTGATTGTGCAAATGGCTCAGTTACCATCTGAGTTTATAGACAGGAGTCCATTGATACGTCACCAGTTGCACTACCGCTACTTCTGCAACGGTTTTGGTAGTATCAGTTCTGCTTTGAATCAGAAGTTCAATCCATTTTACCATCCTGTCATTTGAAGATATAATTTTCAAGACCTGTTTAAAGAATTAGAGGTTTACCTGTATTTTGTGAATCTACAAATCTGACTATCATTAATAGTGAAGTTAATATATTAAATGGGATTTCTAACATGCACAGCAATTTTGAACCAATCTATTTTAAAAGACACCCATGCAAACATTAGCTGGACATTAAATAATTAAAAATGGAATAAGCCTATTTTCAGTTTACGAAATACCAAAAGACTGAAGAAGAGAGTCTCCGAATTCTGTGGCAGAACTTAATAGCATGCCAAATGAACCAATTTACACATTCCACAGAGACAGAGTTGTGGGATAAAATCAAAACCGTTGATGACCTCCATTTTTATTTCTGGAGATCTCAATGCAAAGAAGTTTGGCACAACCTCTACGATAGATGTGCTCTTTCCTCTACTGCAGCATCAATTTCCTTTATCACAGCACCATTTTATTTTAAAGGACCTTCCAATGAAAAATGGAGCTAACAAGCTCCATCAAGCTTTGTTTTCTTCTTTATTCTCAGAAAATGTTTTGGTTTTATTTTGATTGTACTTGAAAGTCGAATCCCTTCTCAGTTAAATAGTAAAGGAATTCACTATGTCTAATTAAACAAGTACAATTTTTCCTGTTTTTCACACTGCTAATTTCTGACATTTCAATTACAGACTGTGTCAGGAGTGTTACATTACAGTATACATGCTTATTGTATACAAAAAGAAAAAAAGGAAGTTGAATTCACAAAAGTATTGTGAATTGACAGCTTTTAAAGGTATTCCTGAGTCCTCGGAGTTTAAATATCTAATACCCTCCAGATACAGTTTTTGAATACCATCCTCTTTAATCATAGAATGGTTTGGGTTGGAAGGGACCTCTGAAGGTCATCTAGTCCAACCCCCCTGCCGTGGGCAGGGACACCTTCAACTAGATCAGGTTGCTCAGAGCCCCGTCCAACCTGACCTGGAATGTTTCCAGGGATGGGGCATCCACCACCTCTCTGGGCAACCTGTGCCAGTGCTTCACCACCCTCAGCGTAAAAAATTTCTTCCTTATATAATGGAATATGAAATACATATGAAATAAAGCTGAGAGCATACAGCAGACCTTGCTGTTATAAAATCAGAAATAAATGTGTACGAATCGGCTTCATTGCTGCACATGGATGCAAGGTGGGGCACTGCTCTCGCTATGATGCTACTTCCAGTGTTACCTGGGTGCCCTTAAGACTCCAGCCATTTGCTTTTCCAGGAAAGCTGCACCTCTGATTCCAAACGGTTTGAGCACTGGTAGGTTATCGGTTTTTATTACCTTCCACGGAGACTTAGCAATGAGTGTGAAGGTCTTCATCTTTTAATCACTAACACATGTGGTCAGACTAAATGATTGGAGGTCACTACGCAGTACACCATGGCAGGTCTTACTTCTGCAAAAATGCATGGCGTCCAAGCACGTTTTTGTTATGATTCAGTACAGATTCTGTCCATGGTGGCTACACACCTAGAGCAAGAAGTGTGGCAAACAACTTACTAGCTATACTGTGCTATAATAAACGGAAAGAAACATTTTGCCACCTCCTCACACCTGTATTTGAAGCACTCCTCTTGCCTAACAATTTAAGCAAGTCTATGATACAGAGTTTATCAGAAAAATTTCCATTACCAGTACTAGTTTAGCTTAATCAATAGCAAGTTCACACCCAAACACGTAAGCAAGCACCTTGGCTACTAGTAGCATTTTAATATTACTGTCAAACACATTCACTGAAAGCATAATAAAAAATAAGGAGTTTATATTCTGCCAACCATCCTGTTTCACTACTAAACAGTAACAGTCATGTTAAGGAAATCACTCTCCAATCCACCACAGTAACAGAAAAGAGAACAAGTAAAACCAACTGACTTGAGAAATACTTTCATTAGAGGCACGTCAATAAAGTTGGCAGAATCAGGACTGAAATGTTTTATGTGGTAACGTTAAGTTTCCCAAGAGCGGAAAGCATGCACATTCTGTGCAACAGATGAACAGTTTAAGGCTGGACGCTTATTTCTAATGTTACTTGAGTGAAATAGAGACCTCTGGTTACCATAGGATCTCAGCTGCATTACTATCAAGTGCATGAATCGGCGCGCGGGGGGGGAGGGGAGTTTTCTCCGTAAACTTAAGTAATCAAAAATGTTTCCCCCCCGTTTTATACAGACACAAAAAATCAGAGATACGATCCCTACAACAGCTGATGATACCATTAAACTTCATCTTGTCAGCAAGCAACTGCCACGATACAAATTTTATTATGCCCATAGTAACGTAGAGCATTGCAAAGGGCTGTTGCCAGAAATGTTCACAATAACTGCTCCAGCCCTCACAAGAGCCCTCTAGCCGAGGCCCACAGCACAAGGGACCAGGAGCTCGCCCACTCCTCCACTTCTGACGTGCAGCAGCGCACAGTCAGGCCCGCGGCCCCCCACTGCCTTGAAGGGCCGGAGCCCGTCCCGGAGGCACAGAGGCCGCAGGCAGGAAGGTGAAGGGCCGGCGGGACCCGCCCGCCCCTGAGGGGGGG